GCAGATATAGTATGACCAGAAATTATTGAGAATTTTAGGAATATGTTTAATTGGATTTCTAGTATAAACAACCTTGACCAGCTATCAAGTGCTTGGTTTCATTCAAGAAAGACAACTCCGTTAATCCTTTTTCATTAGTTTGTGAAGAGTTATCCCCTTTGTTTTTTTGCTAGCAGACTTCATTTTCAGTGATCCTCAGTATGGATGATTTAGAGAAGAGGAAGTTGATTTTAGAGTATTATAACAAGGACATCAGATCAGCTAAAGTGATTTCAAGTAGAACAGGCATCCCTTTGTCCACTGTTTATCGTGTTTTGAAAAATATTGCAAATGGATATGGCATTGAGCACCAGGGAGGCACAGGTAGAACCAGAAAATTGACTGTCGGTGACAGGAGGCGGCTTGGTATTCTTGTTTCTAAAAACAAACGAAGGAGTTTAGAAAACTTAAGGCTGGATATGATTGATAGAGGAACTGTGGCTGTCTGTAAGGAGACAATTAGAACTGAGCTGCATGCAATGGGTTGGCAGAAAAGTCGAGTGACTCCATCACCGATCATGAAACCTGAACAAAAGGAGCAAAGGTTGAACTGCTGCTTACAGCAAGGAAATTTTAACTGGGACAATGTGATTTTCTCAGATGAAAGTTCTGTGTGGCTGTTTCCTAATACACTGAAATTCTGGACCAAACAAACTGAAAAACCTTTGTATCAGCGCCCAAAGTACAGTACGAAATTTAACGTGTGGGGTGGCAGATCTGTGTTAGGGGCAACGACCCTCTGTGATTTGAAGGGACTATGAACAGTGAGCGGTACACAGATATTCTCGAGGGACGTTTACTTCCATCTGCTCACGTGTTCTATGGAAATTTTTGGATGTTCTAGCAGGATAACGACCCAAAACATCGTTCAAAGCATTCACAGGCCTGGTTTCGGACCCAAAATATGTCATTATTAGATTGGCTAAGCTATAGCCCTGACATAAATCCAATAGATAATGTTTGGGGACTTATGAAGGAAAGTGTCAATAAGAAAAATCTGACAAATATTGCTGAAATGAAAGAAGAGGTGGTCCGATATTGGGACAGCATGGACCACGACTTTCTAACTTCTTTGATCAGTAGTATGCCCCGCCACATTAAAGCCTGCATTGCTGCCCATGGTGACTTGACAAAATACTAACTGTTCACTTGTCTTTGAATCTGGAGTTATGTTCTGCTAATATTCACATTTTATACGTGAGTAATGAGTGAAAGAAAATATAAAAATTACAATCTTTAAATTCTCAATAATTTCTGGTTGTACTGTATTTCACCGACATGATTACAGGAAGAAATCACACCTGTGTTCGGACTACAATACTGAAGAAAGAGAGTAATACAGGTGTATTTTACTGCAATCAATAGAGGTACATTAAGTCCGTTCACACAGAAACAATAAGTTTTCTAACTGTAAACGCCGAAAGGTTTTGTTTTCTTTAGTTCTTGTTTAATACAATACCTATACCAAAACCGTTTCTTTTACCGTTTTCTTCATTCATGGACGTAGAGAGCTGAACTTACAAAGTACAGGCCATCTAGCTATCCATAATGGAGAAGGTGTTCACTCGACTCCAGAGTGCAATACAACATGACGTCATTCCTGTGTGACGTAATCCATCTCTCAACCGTGACAGTTCACGAAAAGTGAAAAGTGCTTATTGACAGCTTTTGTAGTTTACCCTTTAAAACATGTCTTCAGGTTGATGAGTCTCAGAGGACTTGAGAATTTCATTATGAAAACGGCCAGCTTGTGTTAAACTTGCCGGCACCTAGTATTCATCTTCTACACGATCGCTTCTCACAGAAACCATATAGTAGATCTATTAAATATGGTCTCTGCTTCTAACGGCTGACCAGTAGTAGCAAGAATTAACGTGAATAAAATGAGGAAGGTCATGATGACCTGTCAAAACTGATGGCATGTTTCTAAAAGTTCTAAATAGCCATAAAGATATATTAAGATTTATTACAGCGCACATATGACATGTGTATGATTACACCTGTTACGTTCTGACGCGAAGGCATTTGACAAGCACATTCAAATTACATATAGCTATAAAATGTGCTTGACACAGTGATAAAGCACATCATTACAGATAAGGATTCCGTGAGATTCTGATTAATCACACATGAATGTGTAACAGTGGACATCTAATCTAAACCAATGTGCTGGCGCTGCTAGTGGTTCCATTATATTACAAGAGTAAGAAACAGGACATTAAATATCGTTTGTATATCCCACCTAATCCGCTTAACCCATCATGGATTCCGATTGTTGGTGTCGATTGTGTGGATTAAATGTTTTTAAACAAACACTAAATCCCCTATGTTTGAAGACACGCCACTGAAAACTAAACCCATCTCCCAGTAAATCAGAAAAGCTGTAACAGTGAAGTTGAAAGTATCTCCAGCGAATGTCTTTCGACAGTCAATTATCGCTTCGTAGCTCCAGACAGATTTACAGAACGATAGGCAACCTGTCACCATCCTATTAAGCATGTGCCCCAGTTAGCACTCGAAGAGAACCTTTGAGATAGACATCAGCAGCTCCGCATCACAAGACGTCGCTGCAGGGAGTAGCATCACAGCACTTTTTTAACGAGGTCACTTTTTGATAAGCGCGGGACCTTTCGTTCAGTCTATACAACTAATACTCACAGAATGATAAGAAGTAAAACGACAGTCAAATCATTGTGATTTACAAGTGTCTGGATGCCATCGCGCAGACACGAAAGGTCACTGCTACCAAATTTCAAATTGGTTTAGTCGTTCAAAGGGCTAAAGAGCACATACACTATCCCGCTTGACATATATGTGTAAGTAAATGTGAATGTGTGGCCTGTACACATGGATGTCGACTGATGCCGACACGAAGGTTTATTGAATGAATATGGTAATGGATTCTTTTGGTGCTTTTTGTGCGATTGGTAAAAGACCAGTTAGACACATTTGCATGAAAAACACAATTGAATTTAAAGGATAATGGACAATGTTCGATGATGTAACATTCCTGTCTGTGATGTATCCTCATGGAAATTGCATTGGCATAGGCTTATTGACATATTATGAGTGAGTTGGTTTTAACGCCGCTTTGACCAGTATTCCAGAGTGAGTGAGTGAGTGAGTTTAGTTTTACGCCGCACTCCGCAATATTGCAGCAATATGGCGGCGGTCTGTATATAATTGAGTCTGGACCACACAATCCAGTGATCAACAACATGGCCATCCATCTACGCAACTGGGATACGATGACATGTGTCAACCAAGTCAGCGAGCCTGGCCACCCGATCCCGTTAGTGGCCTCTTACAACAAGTATTCCAGATACACCTCGACGTGTTCGATTGCTGTGGGAAGACACCCGAAAGTGATTCAGATCTCATACGTTTACCACTTTGGTCAAACTCTTGAGCACGGTTACGGTTTTAACAAACCTAAATGCATAATCGGGGCCAGCCGGTATTCGATTTCAATCATAGGTTTCATGCGTGCCCAAGGGACGCAACTCTGTACACCGCCTAAGACAACTGACCTACTAGTGCCCTTTATCGACATCAGAATGCTAATCAGAATGTATAAGACATTTCAAATTTATTACATGTAATTAAAAGTAATTATTTTATGACTATAAAACCCTAATGGCGTAGGGTCATTCAAATTTGTGCCCCAGTCACAGTCACATTAAGAAAACTGATCTCAAAACGATCACAACGAAACATGCATCTTTTTTTTCTAGTAAAGTGAAACCATTCGTTAGAGCTTGCTCTGTCTTGCAAAAAATGAAAATAACTCATTTTCTCAAAATTGAAAACGATTTAACTGAAGAAAAAATTAAGCAATGTTTCACGACTCAAGTTTTCATTATTGTATGTAGAGCATCTGTTCCTCTGCCGACGACTACTTCCCAGCTCTGTTCAGGGGACACCCGATCCATGCAGGGAGTGGAGGTTTGGTTTGGCGGTTGTTGTTTAACGCCGCACTTAGCAATATTCCAGCTATATGGCGGCGATCTGTAAATATTTGAGTCTGAACCAGACAATACAGCGAGCAACAGCATGAGCATCGATCTACGCAATTGGGATACGATGACATGTGTCAACCAAGTCAGCGAGCCTGACCACCCGACCCCCTTAGTCGCCTCTTACGACAAGCATGGGTTACTGAAGACCAATTCTTACCCGCATCTTCACGGGTTAGGGAGTAGATGGAGTACTGTCCGGGTGATCAATGACTTGATTGTCTGGTCCAAACCGATTATGTACAGGCCAATGAGGTGAGGTGCTCTGTCTTACAGTCCCTGAACCACATTATTTTCTCCACTGCCATTCCTGCAATGCTGAAGCTCTAAATGAAGCAAGTCTAGATTTCCTCATGCTCTGAATCTTCCATCTCACTGGGCCTCCTTTACAGTTTGGGATTATTAGTTACTATCTAGAGTACTAGTATATATATTCAGAGACTAAGCGTTCGTCTACTGGTGAGACAAAGGCAAGCAAACATCCAGTTATATTCCTTGGCTTTTTGTACGGTTTAGGACTATGGTGTCCCCTTCTCCTAATGCTTGTTTCTTCGAAAAATATCTCCCCATTAAGGTGCATGTATGAATATAGTTCCTTAATAATATTCCTTGAATCAGAGACCACATAATAAATTAATATTAAATTATTGAATTTATTATATGGTCTCTGCTTGAATGTAATGTGTAAATCAGACTGGGACCAAACACATTCCTAATGTCTTCTTTTGAAATCAGTTCTTTTCATCTGCTTCATGGTTAGGGAAGCACGAGAAGAACACAGTTGAATGTCACTGAAGCATGCTAGAAACACGTGGGCCTTATCAACTGTTGGCTACAAGTAGTCGTAAACACCGTGTTTGTGCAGTTAATCGCATCCTCGCAGAAACATTCGTTAATGAGAGATGTTGATACAGCAGTCGTTAGATCGATACAACGTCTCAGATCTTGTCTCTTGTTCACCACTTTGCTTCAAGTGTTTCGCTTGTGAAAAGATAAATCTTACACAAAACAACCAAGTGAAAATCATTCTGGTAAACCGAGGCGATAAGCCAGCCTCCGTTCACACATGCGACACAAATGTGCTGATTCAGCCAATCGCTAAGACTGGAGCATCGTGAGAACCGTGAGTGACAGCCCGGATGTGACGTCGTCGTCACCGAGATGCGCAACATGTGGTTGACGAGAGGCACTGATTGGTCGGGGCGACAGCATTGAACGTGTTCCGCATGGAGTTCTGCGTAGCAGATTATTCATAAACACCAGTCGACGTGTGGAGCAGCAGCACTTAGCAGCTACGACGCACTACTTCCTTTGGCGGAAGAACATCATCGTGACAGCTGAATAACTTCCCTGATGAGAGATTTTGTTTGTAGCATTCATTTGTGGAGTTAACTGAGCTTAGCTCACATGTTAATGGATAGCTGAAGCTTTAACTGGTGAGTACCTTATTGTAAACACAACTCTATTGTACCAGAACATCAGTGAGACATTGTCAATCCAATGTTGTATATTCTTTTTACAATGGAAAACAATTACTTGAAGTACTAGTAAGTAGTGTAGTGATAATTTGTTACATTTCATGTGATAAAAGTCATGTAAGTAAAAAATGATAAAAACTTTTAATATTATCTTAATATCAACCGCGCCGAGAATGACTAAAGTTGGGAATGAGAATTTGAAAATATCTCTTCCAACTATCAATCACACATGAAACCAAGTTATTTAATGAATATCAAATATTGATGTAACACAAGAAAAAGGGCAAATAACCATTCCACTTAGCATAAACGGCTTCCGATGTCAATTCTTATTCCTGGAATATTGACCCGCAGTGTATTTGCACCAGATGGCTGACGTCTACACCTCAAGGTACTGGCGAGTCTTCATTGATTAATGAGACACCCTAACCAGCTACCACTTCCCGCAAACATTGGTATAGACAACGCTGTCGTAAATACTTAATGCTGAGATCTCTTTGGGGCTATATCTAACGTGATATACCTACCAAATGTGATATTATACTGTAAATGACTCTCGTGAGAACGTCAATACTTGTTCCAAGTGTTGTGACCTGGATATAGTTATACATTCGGTGTATCATTTAAAGGGGGTATCAGTTTTGTATTTGGGGGCTTATCTTCAATATACATGAACTATTATAATACATAAATGCATGTAGGATTACTTTAGACTTATGTATTAAGAACATAATCGGCATTTTCATCAGTCTTATCAAATTACTGTTTTTGTGTCATATGCTTGTATTCAGTTTTAAGTCACTACAATGATTCAATGAAAGTACTGAATGTAGTTGTTCGGACGCTGCTTCCCCAGTAGGCTAACACCTAGAAAAGTGTGTCTCAATAATACAGCAAACAAGTGTAGCGTCATTACACAATTGGAGAAAGTATTTTTATAAAACACGTACACAGCCATGAAAGTATCCAGAAGGTTGAAGACAAGAAAGCACCCCTTGAAGTTGGGTCAGTTTAAGTAGATATGATTCCTCTTACGTTTTATCTTTGTGTTCACCCAGCTATTGGGTGTTTACTGATCAGTGCTCCGAGGCGGTGGCCTGTATATTAACAAATTCCTTGCATACATTGCTGAAAGAAGAGACGTGTAATGCAGCCTCATATATTATACCTTCTTTATAAATTGTATTGTTTTCGGGGTTTTCTGAAGTGACGTTTTATGTTTATGATGATTTTGCGTGAGGTTTCAAAACATCGGCCTCACGTGGCATGTGCACGTGTTCAGTGTCTGTTTTTGTTTTTGAAAAAGAAACATTGTGTTTCACCGCGGTGCACGCTTATAACCTGATCAGGTATCTCTAGGCAATAGACGGGGTGTTGAGGTGGAACCCTGTCTACCTCCTTCAGAATGAGCACGGTTAGCTCCTTCTCACGTGCAGCCAGTGCATAGTTATGTCCTAGACTAACGCTTAGTCTCTCAATGTATATATATATATACACCCATTTCAATTGAAAAGGAGTCCCAGTGAGAACCTGAGGAAACCTAGACTTGCGTCATTTAGGGATTTAACATTGCAGGGAGGGCGAGGCGGTAGGGAAAATAATGCGGTTCAGGGACAATAAGACAGACTATGTTACGTCCCTAAGGAATAACACGATCCTTCGATCAGGTGTTCGAATCCCAGATTTGGAATTATCATTACCAAGGGTCATTAGTTTTTAGCACCATACCATTCTCGTGGGTTCCACCAAAGTACCAACCGTGTATTAGTCAAGTCAGGTGTTTTATCCCACGTCAATTGATACAGTGTGAAGACATTGAGCATGGATTTGATTCCGACAAAACCTGAAATATAATCCGGTGAATATGGAACTGGAACCCATGGTCAATGTTTTCTGTGAGCCTTAGAGACGTAACTCATCATGACCCCCAATGTCCCCCTAATGACCATGAATGTTCAGGTAACAGCTATGAACAATCCAGTATTCTAGTCATCCCTCATCAGAAGTCAGTGTGACCCATACCGCGCGAGTAATGCTGTATACACGAGAGACTAAACAGCTAAAAGGTACGGCTATTCAAAGGGATAACATGTGAGATGTGTGTGAACCAGTTTTTATCAGTCAATATGATCCTTTATGTGCTACATGTGACTAATCCACGTCTATTGCCTGGACGGACAATAGTCCCCGAGATAATGTAATGCTTCAGTTAAATGTAATAGTTGTAAAAGGGTACCTTCGAGGATGACGGAACATTCAAGTACCTTTACTTCATAGCTTATTGTGTGGTGAATTTCTGTTAACGAGAATGGGATGGAGGTCGTGGTTACATTAAATATAGGCCATAGAGTCTGTCCCTTAGAAAGTGACAGTGTATTGGTTTAACAATGATACTGTGATGTGTTACTGTTAGTGTGGATATTGCTTCTAGTCTGTCTCCCAGTCCCTGAACCACATTACTTACCCTACTGCCTAGCCCTCCCAGTAATGCTAAATCCTTCAATGAAGCAAGTGCCTCTGAATCTCACATCTCACTTGGACTCCTTTTCAATTTCAATGGGATTATTTGGCGCTGTCAAAATTATATCTATATGCAGAAACTAAGCGTTAGTCTAATATTACCTACTGTATGTGTGTCTGATGTGTACACCTATATCACATACACATGAGGCAGCATATGTTCCACTTGGTTCGTGTGGTGTTGCTCGTATCCCGTGATAACAGTCACACCGTGGGGATATAAGGGTAGAACTGGTAGTAATTAGAGTGCATATAGAATTGTTTGAAATGGACCTGGTGACTGCCTGTCATCACATCCACACAGCGTTGGAGTTGACCATTCTATCAAACACTGGAATGCCTGGTTTACACTCGTTTTCTAAAGGTTGAAGTGATATCAGTGGAATATTGCTGACAGTACCATTCACTCGCCTTGTTAGCAAAAAAATGAGCTGCAACAGTTTGATACTATTTCTTTTCACACCTAAGAGTGGAAACTATCACCTTTAGATAATTGTAACGGCATGTCTGCTCCTTAAATTGACAATACAACAGTGTGCGACGAACGAAAACGAAACATGCCTTTGATAATACGGAAATCTATATTCTCCGTTTCAGATCAACAAATTCAAGATGGCCTCCAGTTCGTCCATGATCTTCACGGAAACGACACCTTTTGGTGTAGACAACACAACAGCGGAAGTGACATTAAACATCAGCGATGAGGAGAAGAGACGATATCTGTCCCACCTTGACGACACGATGTTTCCTAAAATGATACCAGCCGTGGTATATCTGGCCATCCTGATGTTTCTGGGTATTTTCGGAAACATCCTGGTGTTGATTGTGTACCTCAAGAAATTCAAACCAAGCCCAACACGTGTGTTTGTGGTATGCCTGGCTGTGTTCGATCTGATGACCTGCATCATTTCACTCCCAGGAGAGATCCTGGACATGAGGTACACCCATACGTTTAACTATCCACATCTGTGTAGAATTCTACGATTCAACAATACATTCTCCGTGGTGTCCTCGGGATTCACGCTCATAGCCGTTGCTATAGACAGATACAGGAAGATATGTCGACCATTAAACAAACAGATCACCATCAGAGTCGCTCGCATCATGGTTGGAATCGCTGTGTCTGTATCACTTGTCCTCACCATCCCAACAGTCATAGTCAACGGTAAAACCACGGTACTAACGGACAGAGAGGGGATAACTGGTTTCGACTGTTCCTTTGACGACATGTGGAGCGATACTCTGTTTCCCTTGGTCTATACTGGAGTCTTGTTCCTCGTCTTCTTCGGTTCTCTAAGTGTCCTGGTGATCGTGTACATCCTCATTGGCAGAACTGTCTTTATTCACCGGAAGTTCAAATTCCGTCCCGCCTCGGACAACAAAAACCAGTCTCCTCAGAACTCGACGTCCGAAACAGAGTTGTCTTCTGGAGATGGTAAGGAACGGAATGGGAAGCGGTACCTCCTCGGCAATGGGAAGAGCTCAGACCAGGGCAAAGGCACCAGGATTGCTTGGATCTCGCCACGAAAAACGACGCCACCTTCCGTCACCGGTTCGAAGTTGAAGGTCGGCGTTGACGGTCCGTCCGAGACAAGTCGTACGAATCTGAATGACGACCCCGTGAAACCCAAGACAGCCATCTTCACCCGTGGAACAGAGCAACCATCAAATGGTGTACGGCTGACCAAATTTGTTAAATTTAATGGAAAAGGAAAAAATAGTGCCCCTAAACCAGAAGAAAGGTCAGGACCGAAAGCGTCGAAGACAACGCTTATGCTGTTCATCATCACCGCTGTGTTCATCATCAGCTTCCTACCTCATCTGATCCTGATGATAACTCGAGGCTTCAAATCCGACTTCCTTGAATCTTTACATGGAGGGGGGATCATTGTGTATAATGTATTCCTACGCTCATACTTCATGAACAGTGCAGCGAACTGCATAGTATACAGTTTTTGCAACGTGAAATTCAGAAACGAGTGCAAGAAACTTCTCGTCCCTTGTTTATCGTTGAGAAAAAAATGACAAAAAACAACCCATGGCTCTTTTCCTGAAATTCCGTCCTTTTTGAAAGGAGATCTTCAGAAAACATTTAATATGTGATGGAGCAAATGTAAGACATTTACTGGCCGCACAAAACACATGGTTCGTCGTCGGTTGTCAGATTGTGATAATATGTATCTGTATAAGGAAACCGTGAAACAGAACTGTATGTCCTGCATTGTTTACGTGAGCCCAACCACAGTGAAAACCTTGTGCCAGTTTGTAAATAATCACCACTTTACAATTTGTTGATGGATGACGTCACGACAATCAACAAAGAAGCATGCCTAATGAGAACGTCAGCCATTAATGGCATATTGTGTGTAAAACGATTTGTTTACACTGACTTGATAAAACACTGCACCACGTGGTGCTCGCGTGCTGATATCAACACCTGTTTCAGTGTAATGGACATGCTGACAGCCTGTCAGACAGGGTGATTGAAATATAGCACACTGGGTTAATACGGACCATGCATATGTCACATTGATTTGTTTTTGTTTTTAAATGGCAGAATATTGTTATTTGTATTGAGGAAGTTTCTGAATATTGGACACAATTTTTGACACATTGGCTCGACAGCAAGAACGAGGCATCAAGAATGCGTTGTGTGTATATGATTTATATCTGTTCAATATCGTGAGCTCGACATGGATCCATACAAGTGTCACAGTGACAGATGTGTATTTCAATGACAATTTGTTATAGTCTGGGGTTTTTGTCTTTCAACTTTTACATAATTTATAATATATTCTAATGGGTTCTGTTACCACGATAACGTATTACCTTTTAAAAAGATTATCGATACCTGGGCCCTTATTCTCGAAACGTTCGTAGCCCTAAGAATTCTTAACTTTGGTCGTAGCTAATGTTTAAGAATGGGCTTAAGAGGTTCGTAAGGCTACGAACGTTTCGAGAATAGCTAGCCTGGTTTATTTCTACTTAAGGTTAAGTTGGAGTATTGTTATATTATGATCTCTGTTTTGTCAGACTATATTCAATATTAACACAACTAATGTCAATGTGAAGCTCCAACTAACTTGGGTTCAATTAATGCCATCGACAAATGTGTATTCACGTGCAACCTCGGATCTTTGGAATTGGGCGGGCCGGAATTTAGCTTCCATGTAACTATCCGGCCACGGTGTGATTACTGAAGGTGAAAGGGGGCGAGCGTCGTATTTCGGGTTGAGTACAAAGGAGGTGGGGAGGGGAGGGTGGTGCAGGGGAGGTAGGGAGGGGAGGTCGGTGCAGGGGAGAGGAGACAGCATATTACTGCATGGGAGCCATGTGTTGGTTGTAAAATACTTAATGATTCCTTCATCGCGGGGTTTTAATTGTATAATTTACTAAATATGAAAATGTATCAATACATTGGTGTCACTTATAAAAAGCCCCTCTTGTGCGTCACGTGTGTGAAAAATTTATATATTTTGTGAATAAACATGCCATCGTAAATGTCAAGTTCATTTTACTGTCGTTGTTCCAGGAACTCTTACAGACTGTGTTGCTCATGCGCACTGTACACTCCCTGCAGCAGCTGGAGGGACAAAACATGCAAGCTTGCAAAAAGCTCAAATACCCGGATTCACAATTTATATCACCATAATATAGACCTCCAATATTTGATGAATATTTCAGTTTGATTTAACAATTTGAAAGTAACACACATTGATATAATTTCCACGATTGGATTATAAATACATTTATACCTGTTTTCTGGTTAAACAAGTTTTTTCGATACTACATCAACAGACGTATTTACGTCTGTTTTAAATACATACTAGCATTATATAACTATATTGAAAAAATTATCCAGCAGGTGCTCTATGTAAACATGCAAATCCAATGTAAGCATAAACAGTAAACTGGCACTCACCTGCCTTGTTCAGACTGAATTGGGGCGGTGGGGTAGTCTAGTGGTTAAAGAGTTCGCTTGTCACGCCGAAGACCCTGGTTCGATTCCCCACACTGCAGGTACAGTGTGTGAAGCCCATTTCTGGTGTCCCCCGGCATAAAACCATACTCACTCACTCAGACTGAATATTTACCTGATAACTACTTCAAACACAATGTGTTCTTTTATTCCTATTTGGGACTTTAACAATCAAACCATGTAATGTATGAACATCTACCAGCTCACTTCCCACAGTTAGAGAGCGGACCGTCGCGGGTTCGATCCCCGACCGCGTCATACCAAAAGACCTTTAAATATGGTACTTGTTGGTCCCTGCCTGGCGCTCGGCATTAATGGGTACTACAAGGACTGGTCGGCTCGGAGTCAGTATACTGTGTCTGAGTGGGGTATTCCTGCTTCACTGCGGCATGGTATCTCAGTGAGCTAGCACTATAAATTCAGCTTAAGTCTGGGCTAGTACAAGCAGCCATACATACACATACACATGCATGCACGTCGTCATATGAACGAAATATTCTCAAGCACGACGTTAAACCCAATTTCACCTCACCTTCCCACAGTTACCCCCCTTAACAGTGACAGGATCCTCTCATCCTAGGCTGAAATCTCACATGACGGAGTAGGCTAGTGATCAAGTCGAAAACCATTTATGTAGCTGAATACCAGCTACTGTTTGTTTTGGGAAAGATGCGTGCAAACCAAAAATGGCATTCAAGAATTTCCTAATCTTTTGAAATCTATACTCAGTTTGTTAAAATCGGAAAACACATCTTCGGTTGCACCGTTATCTGAACGGTCCACATTCAGGGGTCCAAATCCTTCTTGAGAAATACTACTTTCAGGACGACTGAGTGAACCATCCAGCACTAATCACAGCGATATGCTTTTCGAGTTAAAACATTTTTCATTTAACCTCTTTTTCTCCGAAAACACTTTCAATTTACGCTCGTGCTACGCCTGGCTGACACTTTCGGAAATGGCTGATCAAATTTCGTTTGCGACATCTTCGCAATCTCTTCGCGGTGGTTATTTCTTAACGTTGCCATTCTGAACATGTCAAATCCCCGGACCCGTGTCCTCGAGCCGTGGTTAGCATATGGTAATATTTACCTCGCAACATGTGGCAATGACTTCAACCTCAGAGTGTTTATTCCTCCTGAGCTCATTATTCTAGATTGTCGCCTTCTTTCATATTTTCTCACGGTTGTGATATAAAACCCAACCACTCGACTGTGTTAGACTAACATCCAGAGGAGAAACCTTAGCTTTGGCTGGAGCGGAGATACCGAGCTTTAAGATTATTTATGTAGAGGCTGAAGGGTGGTTGTAGGAAAATATGACCGCGCGAATGATCTAAAACAAACATTTTAAAGACATAGTGCTTGCCTTCAACTACTGTCATTTGAATCGGAGATGATAGAACGGACGGGAACACCAACAATGCATCAATGTTATGTCTCCGCTTTCCAACTGGTTTGACACTTCTCAAACGTAGCTGTCTTGCTTGGGAATCTGATAGTAGTCTCGAGCTGAGAATAGGCCGATCGCATTGCAATGAAATGGAAAGAAAAACAAATTATAATTGCCTGAAATTTCTCATTTCTTGCGCAGGAGTACTTGCGCAAGCTTCTGGCTTGGGGCCTTGAGCTTAAAACAAGATCTTGTTTGATGTTCGAAGAGTATTTTGAAAATAATCTTTAGAAATAAACATTGCCAACGATCGGTGTAATTCATTGTTTCTATAACATTAAACTGACAGGGTCCTACGATACGGATAGGTCATATATAAGCGAAGTTTATTTCAACACACAGCACCTTGATACAAGAAACTGGGTTTCGAATTTACGCTGACGAATGCAAGCGTAATGTAGAAGCGACATCGCTTTGATGTGGTAGAGCCGGTTGAAATGCGGGAGCATGAATTGCTTATTACACCGTGAAATGAGTCTCTCTCTTTTTTAAATAAAAACATATTAATATATTCCCTGAGTCGATTATACAACGTGTTCTGCAGTATGCTTTTCTTGCCTAGTACATTAAGAAAACATATTTCAAAGTAACACGAGAGGCCTTAAGAATGAAGGGTTGTTGTTAACATAGGTGGGATCTTTTTAACAAAAAGGGATCGCCCTGGCTGATTTGACGACATGGACATTGATAACTGACATTGTCATTGTGTGGATAATGGAATAAGTATCAGCTGTTACCTAAATAAACATTACATATTTGGATTATATGTACATATACAACCAAATTGGTGACTGAACGAATTGAATTCAGATGGCCAGGACTGCCAGTCTGCTCGACCTCAGTTTCCATGCTGCGAGTGGAATGTAAGGATCAGTAGAACCCAGTGAAGATCCGAGCTAGAATTTATCTTCAGCAATCCTTGCTTGTTGATGCGGCTAAAGGGAGTCAGGTCAGACTCGTTTACACGATTGATGCAAGACATGGGTCTTCCAACTTCCAGCAAGTCGGTGCTCATGACGTCCATCATGGAGTTTTCTGATAAAGATTCTCACAGACCACAGACCACAGTCACACAGCTAGAAATCACGTTACATTTGTTATATTGGGATTACACTTTCCCAGTAAAGTACAGGGGCGGCGGGGTAGCCTAATGGTTAAAGCGTTGGCTCGTCACGCCGAAGGCCCGGGTTCGAATCCCCACATGGGTACAATGTGTGAAGCCCATTTCTGGTGTTCCCCGCCGTGATGTTGCTGGAATATTGCTTAAAGCGGCGTAAAACCAAACTCAGTCAGTCAGTCAGTAAAGTACAGACTCTAGTACATGTTTGCTCTCCCACCGGGATTCGAACCGACACTCTCAGAGTAAGCTCCCTTTATACGGCGTTTTAGCACCATGTGGCACTCCAATGCCCCGATTTCTCGAAACAAACTTAAATCTGAGTTTTGATAGAGTTTTTACTCAAATTTGAGAATCGCAGGAAAATGCATTTCCCAGAATGAACTGAAATCGATTCTAGTATACTTTTGATCTCCCACCTGGATCCGAACCAACACTCTCGCATAACACCCCTTTAAACGACATCTAACATACATTAGCATGTGCTCTCAATTACATTCGTGTTTTCACTTACGCGCACGAACGCACAAACATACAAGTACATGGGCGCAAAATCTAACACACACTCACACACAATGGGGTTTCA